CCTCTGCTCTTTCCCTGAAGTTCTTGCCTCCAAAGCAGGGGCTCTAGCCATGCAGTTGCCAACAACCTCCCTCTTTAGCCACATTAGACCCCCTCACCAGGCCCTCAAAATCCCCTCACCCATCCACGGAGACCAGAAACCAACTGTTACTCATGTATGCACGAGTTCTTGCATCAGACAGCAATGCTTTTTATAAAGTCCTTTCACAAAGGTTGTCATATTTAATCATCAAAAACAACCCATCCCAGGCTGGTATAAGAATCTCATGTTACCAGGCGTAGTGGCTATTTAATCCCAGCACTTTGGGAGGCCAAAGCAGGTGGATCACTTGAGGTCAGGAGTTTGAGACCAGCCTGGCCAATGTGGTGAAACCCCGTCTCTACTAAAAATACAAAAATTAGTCAGGCATGGTGGCGGGCACCTGTAATCACAGCTAGTTGGGAGGATGAGGCAGGAGAATCACTTGAACCCGGGAGGCAGAAGTTGCAGTGAGCCGAGATCGTGCCACTGCACTCCAGCCTGGGTGACAGAGTGAAACTCTGTCTCAAAAATAAAAGGATCTCATGTTACAGTTGAGGCAGAAGGTAACACAGCTGGTGAGTGGCTTTGCCAGGATTTGAACCCAGGTGTTCCCTGGTCGACTGAGAGAAGCTCATGGGATGTGGGAGTGGGCTGAGTGGGGGCTGGTTGGTGTTGAATAAGGCAGAGGGAGGAGCCTTGGAGATGCTGAGCAGGCTCTGGCTTGCTGCTGTTAATTGGCGGAAGAGCCATTCTGAACCCTGGCGGCTTGGGCCTGATTCCCTTAGTGCTTTAAGCTGATGGATTCAATGTTTGATCTTGTTATTCAAATCACCGTGTTTTTATCATCTAAGAGCCATGCCCCCAAACTCAAAGCTTCCCTACCAGACCATGAGCACTTATTTATTTATTTTTTTAAATAGAGTCAGGCTCTCACTCTGTTGCCCAGGCTGCAGTGCAGTGGCACGATCACGGCTTACTGTAGCCTCGAACTCCTGGGCTCAAGTGATCTTTCTGCCTTAGCCTCCTGAGTAGCTGGGACTACAGGCATGAGACACCATGCCTGGCTAAGGTTTTTTTGTTTTTGTAGAGTTGGGAGCCTTTACTGTGTTGCCTAGGCTGGTCTCAAACTCTTGGCGTCAAGCAATTCTCCTGCCTTGGCCTCCCAAAGTGTGGGATTTTGGTTGGGAGCTACCATGCCAGGCCCGGGACTATTTGTTTTTAAATTGTATTTTTATTTCTTTTTATTTTAAAGTTGATTTATATCTTATTTTATGTAATTAAAAAAGCCAAGTAGCATTAAACAGTTCATAACGAAAACCAGCAATTCTCTGTTGCCCCTTCTCAGCCGCCAGGCCTGGCTCTCTAGAGATAGCCATTTTCAGTTCTTAGCCCCCAAATCCAGTGCAGCAGCCATTAGCCACATGTAGCTACTGAACACTTGAAACAGGGCTCATCTGAATTAAGATGTGACATGTAAAATACACACTGGATTTTTGAAAATTTAGTATGAATAAAATAAAGTTAAATATTTCAGTCAATTTTTATATTGATTACATGCTGAACTGACAATTTTTTGGATATATTGTATTAAATAAAATATATTATTGTTAATTTTACCTATTTCTTTTTGCTTTAAAAAAAAATGAAGCTGGGAATGGTGGCTCACACCTGTAATCCCAGCTCTTTGGGAGGCCAAG